GGTGCTCCTGGTAATTTAACTGAAAATGTGAATATTGGGCAAGGAAGTACAGTATAGTCTGCAGAGTGGTCTGAGGGGATTCTTGGTGTTTTTAACATTAGTTGTAATTCTTTCCCTGGCAGAGTGCTGCGAAGGGTCCATAACAATTCCTTTCCATCTCTGAGTGGCAAATACTTGTGTGGAGATTTATTGGGCTCTCAATTATCACTCAGTCACAAGTGCAGCCACCTTAATCAATTACAGGATGTGGCCAGCAGCCAAGGAATGCTCAAATCCCCGCGCTGCCTGCTCGCGCTCTATGACTTTCACCACCAAGGCAATATTTTTTCCCCTTATAAAACTCACGAAACAAGTATTACAGGATGTTTTAATCGGCGTGAGCAGATGGCTGCCTCCACCCTGACCCGGCGGTGGGCTCCCCAGTAGTACTGGGGACTCACTGGGCTGTGAGGGGGTCTGTAGTGGGTGGTTGGAGTGCCCTCATGGAGGTAGGGGTTGGTTTGGGTGCTCCATGGTGCAGTGTCTCCAGGCTGAAGATATCCACCAGGGGTCATCCTGGCCTGCCTGCTGCAAGGCCCGGGGGGGTTTCGGGGTGTGCTCAGCCCAGGAGAAAGCAGGGTCCCCCCCCCTGCCTCCTGGACCCTGGGCATCCCCCAGCCCCACTCGCCCACATTGGCACAGCTCATGGGTTAAAGAGCATGACACACAAAAAAATGCAGCTATTTACATGCTAGTCTTTAAAAAGTGATTTATTTCTTGGTATATCTATCTGATTTAAAAAAAAAAAAAAGATGCTTATTTAGATGTGTTTACTCAGTGTTGGTGCAGAAATCACATGGCATGTCAGGCATAGCTCGAGTGCACTAGAAATTTGTTTATGCACCTTCCAACTTTTTTTTTTTTCCTAATGTATCTCCTGAAGTAATGTGTTGAGAATCTCAGTTTTCACTTGTGCAAAAGGAAGCAAACTGGCATAGTCCTTACAGTTGCTGGGAAGAGCATGAAAATGAAAGCCTTTAAGACTCTGTAAGCTGAAGGTAAATACAGGAAATTCAGTGTTTGTCTATTAAAAAATGAAAATGTCGGGATTCCTCAAACAATGTGCTCTTGTTACATCAGGAGTCATTGAAGAGTTTATTATAAATATTAGAATTGATAGTACCAGTGGAGCTACAGTGATGCCTCTAAGATGTCGTCATTTTCATGGCAACAGAGTTCTTGCAGTCAACCTTGGCTCTAATAGATCTTATTTTCTCTTCATTGTGTTACTACCTGTGATGACCAAAACAAAAAACAGCAATTCACCACTACGTTACCTAAACACTAAGCTTTGCAGTTGATACATCTAAGCCTGTGAGGCTTCTCTCTGTTCTGATTGGCACTGTGCGATGGTCGCTTTCTTATTGTATTAAAAACTCTCAACAGTGGGAGCTCAGATGTAACGAAGATGCTGGTCTTCACAGGTCAAGTTCCCTTTATTGTCTCCTGGAAACTCTCCTGTATCAGGCAAAGACAGATGCTGTGTGTCACTGAGTGTCATACTGTCACTCACATTTAGAAGAGGGGATGGAAAACAGAAGTTAGTTTTATGTGTGGATTTAAGGATTGAAGAATCTATCTAGACATCTCCAGAATTATTCAACATAGAGGGGGGGGGAAAAGACTTCCCCTGAGAAGCCTCCTCTGCTACACTAGGTAATTCTGTGTGACTTCAGAAAATTCTTTATTTCTTCCAACTGCTTATGTCCAGCAAAAGCAATTTGTATTGGAACTTTTTTCTTCCCAACTTTTCATTAAACACCCACAATAATGAACTATTTACACTTTACTTTTTTTAATAGCTACAGCAAAAGATTATTCTGCTCTGCACACCCGAGAGTGCACAATAAAATAACTGTTTAGCAGGGGGAAAATGCCCTGTTGTCTTGCGGTACCAGTTGGTATTATGGAGGTTTGTTCGGTGTCTTATTTATAGTAGATTGCACTTGGAAATGTGATACAAAACAAACACCAATGTTCCAGTAGCTTGACCATGCATCAGATTTTTACAGTTATGATAAAAGATGCTTAAAATAAAAATGACTCGAAAAATGACAACGGTGAAGGGACAGTCAATCTGCTGAGGTCTCAGCATCCGCCTTCTTAAAAAAAGATAATGTTCCACGTCGCACCCTCCAGGAATGCTCCCAGATCTGTATTTGTGCTGATGCTCCTTTACACCGCCCGTAGAGACAGTTTATTCCAGTCATGAGACCTCCTCTTGCTGCTCCTGAGAATCCTGTGTGTGGAGAGTTTATAAACTTTGCTTCTCTGTTGATCTTTTTTTTTTTTTTTTTTTTTTTTTTTTTGTTTTTGTACTGCATAAGAAAAGCCCTATTTTTTCAGTCTTTAAAGATCTGGTTTCCTTTAAAGAAAATGAGGCCTAGGTATGAATGACCTGCAGACTGCACTGATCTTTCTCATCGTTTTGGCTCTTGCTGACCTTTGGCTGGGCTTGTGTTTGTGCGTGCAGGTATGTGTGTGTGTGCTCCAGTTGGAGACGGAGGGTTTGTGCTTTAGTCCTGTCCACTCTTCCTCTCCAGCAGGGAGGAATTCAGTGGAGATTTTTCTTTTTTTTTTTTTTTTTTCAGGGCTACAAGAATGCACAGAAAGCACATTTTTTAAAAATAATCTAGCTCAGTGGTAATCCTACTAAGGCAAGTATTTTGTGGAGAAATGGTATCCAAGTATTTCTAGTCAGATTTCAAATAAAATCCTAATTGGCTGTCTTTTTGTCTGTGGCTTCCAGCTCCTACCTTTGTGCATTATGAAGCAATAACCATTTCTTGGCCAGTAAGCATACTGGTGCTTTGTTGTGTGTGTTTACATGTGTGAGGGAAGCCTTCTTTCAGGAGAAAGACTAAAAAAACTCATTAAGGCAGTGGAGAACAAAAATGAATTATTTCATTACTTTTTTAGCTTGTGGTTAGAGCAAACTGTTGTCTCCTTGATTTAAAATTGGATGTACACCTAGAGGATGGTGTGTGTTTAATCAAAAGACCTGAACGTGGGAATGGTGTGGGAATGGTGACAGTGTGTTTGAACCAACACCAAGTATCTGAAGTCCTTCCTCAAGTGATAAATACTCACTGATCTGGCTAAAGCACTGTTTATTCTCTCTGTGCTTTGAGTCCGTCTCTATTTGAAGAGAAATTCCTTCCAATATTTTTCCTGGTCAGTTGTTGGATGGAGGCTGGCTCCGCTTTCAAAGCATTTGCCTTTAATACGCATCAGGTTACCCTGAGGTAAAATGGAAACCTTAGATGTTACTCCTGTAAATAAATGTTTACATAATACATTGGACTGAACTTCTCACCATTGCATGTCTAAGAAAAAAAAAGGTCACTTTTGACATCAGTAACCTTTAGAGAGCGATGCCTTTGCCACACAGGTAAAGAAAGTTACTGTGCGTAGCACATTCCTTTCACTGGATCCAGAAGGTAGGAGAGGTCAAATGTTACTGCTTACAGCTCCCAAGGCTTGGTATTTTAAGGTTTAAAGGGAAGGTTTGGTTTTAAGGCATGGGCCCTGTAAACAGCACCTGCCCAGTTTTGCTCATGTGAGTAATTCCATTGAATTCCCCGCCTCTAGCCAGGTATGAAAAGCTGAGTCTGTAACGTGGGTCTGTGGGGGGTCAGGGCTGCAGCTCTTCATTTCTAAATGAGACATTTCTTATAAAACGTTCATGGTCACAAAAGATAGTGGGTCTGGATTTGGAACCAAGTAAGTATCTATCTCTTAGTTTTACTGCGGTTGTGTCAAAACATTTGCCCAGCACCAAACATAAAATTATTACCTACCTATAAGTCAGCAGCAAAACTGCTGTTGTGACAATAGATGAAGGATTTCTCCCTGGACTTCATCCAGCAGATGTGTAGCTGAAGAGGGAGCTTGGTGTTCTCTGGTGGAGTCCATCCTGGGGGGCAAGACATCATCCAGGTGCGTTGGGATTGTTGGGTCTTGGGAGCAGAGCCTGTGAACAAGTCCCATCAGCTCACCCCCTCCAAGATATGGGGGGATCATTGGGAGACCTGACCTCTGTGTTGTGGGATGCAAGGGAACAGGAGATCCTGGTCATAAATGGATTTTTGCTGCCTTTGTTTTTGAAATACGGGCAAAACCTGCAGGTTTTCAGACACTAAAAAAAAAAAATTAAGTGGGAGCTATGATGCTGCAGTCTCCTGCCTTTATATATTTCTTGATCTTTGTCCAAAGATAATACAGAATTAATAGTATGAGTGATTAGCTCCACATGTGGCTGTGACAATTCTTGATGGCTTTTAATGTGCGCTGGTTCCTTCCTCGCTTCCCTGTCCATCTTGCTGGCTCCTCCCCCCCAATTTAGAGGGGGGAAAAAAAAAAAAAAAAGTAGTTCTTTAAATAGCAAGCTCTTTGCTTTTGTGATGTACCGGGCAGCCTTCCTGGCATGGCCCGGGTTACCACAAGAGCAATCAGGAAACCTTGTTTCTCAGGTTGGTCAGGATTTTGTTGTGGGCATTATTTCACATAGTGCATTTTATATATATATTTTTTTTATTTTTTTTTTTTTGGCCACCGAAAAAACCCTATATATCACCATCCAGTCATCTTGCATGTCCCCGATGCTCCACTTGTAATATTAATGAGCCCTTTCCAGGACATACAGTGCTTTCTTTGTTCTTATAGGAGCTGCTGGGGAGGGGGAGCGGGTGATGGAGGGAGTGGGGCTGGGGACACGGCGGGGGGACACAGCCCTGGCCATGCCAGGGTGGGCAGCGAGCACCGCTGCCTGCAGGCACCTCTCCCCAACACCCGCAGGAAGGAGACCCCAACCTCATTAAACCTTGAAGGGTCTGTGTTTTGAGGGTGCCAGGGTGGGCACGGGGCTGGATGGCGGCTCCAGGTGGCGGGCGCTGACAGCTGGGTCACATGATGGCTGTCATTGCTGGCTCTGCCACCCCTCGGCCTCCGCCACAGCCAGCCCCTGGCTTCCAGGAATGTAAAGGCTTGGGGGGGGACAGGCTGGAAGGAGGCCACCTTGCTTTGCTCCCTCCCCACCTCCAGCCCCTGTTTCTCCTTGTCCGAGCAGGCTGAATTCCCCAGGGTGGCGGTTCCCGGAGGTGCAGGACCGGCGGCCGCAGTTGCCAGGGGACTTGGGTCATGAGACTCAACTCCGACCGCGTTCCGCTGGAGGAGGAGGAGGAGGAGGAGGAGGATAGATGGGACTGACATGTACGCTCCGGTGGCTGCCAGAGCAGCGCTCGGCTTCCCCATGAATTAGATCGATCCCCTCTGCAGCCCTACACTGGAAGAGAGAGAGAGAGAGGAGAGAGAGGAGCGGGGGACGACGGGCGGTATTTCCTCCAGCAGAATTCCCGGGTTGTGCAGGAGAATGGAGGGGCAGGATTGGGGTTATGAAACCCCAGGGCAGCTCCAAGGCAGCCTGGTGCAAACGCCTGTCTTGCGCTTCAGCGAACTGCTTTCCTTAAGGTGGTTTTTGTGATCCCGTTGCTAGGATTAAGCCTTTTTTTTTTTTTTCGCGTTGCAGCATGGAGAGTCTTTTGTTTGAGTTAAATTCAGACCTCTTGATATGTCACCTGACAGTCTTGTGGTTTTGGATGAATATGGCTCATTGCTATTATTAACCTGAGTTGGCAGCCGGGCACAACAGGAGTTTATAGGGATTTTGAAAAGTGGAACTGCTCGGGGGACAAAGATGCTTCCCAGGTACGGTCGCTGCACAGTTCTTGAGATCATTTTCATGATTTGAAAGCTTAATATTTCCACTGTGATCAAAGTATTTCTCTGCCAGAAATGTGAAGCTTTATTTATGATTCTTACAGTCGTGTGTTAAATGGCACTAATGTACTTTTTTTTTTTCCTTGATTTGGTTCTATCTGTTACAATTTTGCGAAGGGAAGCGCAGTCTGCTTTAATAATGTAAAACCTTGTGTTCGGTGCTAGTGAATTTAACTGAAAGGAACTGTGTCTTCTTTGTGTGTGGCTTTTTTTATTAAAACAGGTATTTCAAAAGAGCACAGAGCTTGTGTGTGTGTGCGCATGTATGTGCACATGTTTGCATGTGTGTATGTGCTTAAATCAGCTAAAAGCTGAACAGGTACTTTCTGAAAGGACATACGCGAAGTAGTGCCCAAAATATTCTATGAAATTACTAATACTAATTTCAAATTCTGAAGCTGTGTGAATTGCAAAGTTGCTCCACATGCTGCACGTCTTTGACAAAACCTTCCATCCTACTTATTTTCAGTATCACACTCCAGATCATGATTAATGTGTTGACTAGACTGCACCTAACCTGTGTATATTGTCTTTTTGCTTGTGGAAAGGCATCTGGCTCATGTGTTGGATTTTTAGAGTATAAATTAGCTACCTTAATGAGAGCCAAGTGACTTGGTAGAAGGGAGAAAAAAAAATGAAAATAAACTAAAGTCAGCTTCATATACAGTTCAAGAATTGGACAGAGCCAAGGATCTTGGAACTTGGACAATTGAAGTTTAGGTCCAAGTTTATTATACTGAGTGCGAAATATCTGGCTGGCGGAGTGTGTGCCTGGTGTACAATATGTGCTTAGTATAAGCAGCACAAGTTTCCTGGAGCTCAAGTAGTGCAGCTATTCAAGGTGAGGCTTGCTAAGCTGGTCACTGAATGAGACACATTTATAGATGTAGCATGGAGCTGACCTTACTGTGGTGCCTGTGGCCATGTCATCCTCCTTCAAGAAATGAGCAAGGGAAGGCTTGGATTTTTTTTTTTTAAACAAACATTATTTCCTTGCCATTTCCTGATTGATTGTCCCTGAGATGATCCACCAGCTATCAGTTCTTCCAAGCTACCCAGGGAACAGGTCCTTTGAATTTTGCGAAACCCCAACTGAGGTCAAAGTGACAAAGGGCAGTGTCACCCCAAGTGCTGGGTAAACTCCTTCACAGTCAATCATCGTGGAGTCCCTGTGTGGCCTTGGGCAAGTCACAAACGCTGGTTTTTCTCTGCAGAATCAGCAGGCGTTTGCCACAACAGTCACACAACCCTGCAGTGACCTCGACTCTTGTAAAGTCAATTATCTTGCAAAATATTTTCTAAGTATAGGCCCCGTGGTTTCTCTACTTCAGGGATCTTCTTCCTCCTTGCAGCCTTATGGCTGTGTTATGTCACCAGCATTTAAATGGGATCTCGCACTGAAAATGCCAACGTGGCAAATCAGCGATGCAGACTGGATCATCCTTATCACAGGAATTCCGATAAAGTTCTTTGGCGCCTCAGGTGTTATTATTAAAAAATAATTAACCTACCCATGCCTCTTTACAAAAGCTCTGCTAATGGTTGATCTTCCAAAGCTGGAAGCATCATTAACATGCCGTATTGCTCTTTTCATTATTTCCAAATTAGTTGTGCTCTTTCAGAAAGGTGTCTTTGTACAATAATGGTCAAATATACTCAACTTTTGTTGTATCTTCTCAAAGCCAAAAGAGAAAAAATCCAATAACGGATAATAGAAATGTGCAGAGGAATTTCGGTGGGAAAAGGGAATCCCTTGTTGGAAAAAGCATCTCCATCAGGGGTGAGAGGTGTGTGATACGATGGTTGGACTGGGCAAGGACCATTTGCCGCCGCCTTCTGTTCATCTTCCCCGTAACAAAGCAGGATCCTAAATACTACTAGGTTTACACGTGAGCGTACTTCGATGTGCGTGTACGTGGAGTCAACATGCATTTGAAAAACCCTAATGCCCCCAGAGGAACCGTCTCACGCAGGATCCTAAATACTACTAGGTTTACACGCGCAGATGAGTGTACTTCGGTGTGTGTGTACATAGAGTCAACATGCATTTGAAAAACCCCAATGCCCCCAGTGGAACTGTCTCATATTTACAATGTAAGCTCTTCAAAAGAGGGACAGTCTCTTTGCCTAGCACTTGTGTAGAAGTTAGCTGGGTCCAAGCACCGCCGTAAGAACAAGAGGATTGTCTGCAGGAGTTGGAGATGAGCCCTGGGGATCCCTGGACCTCTGTTCTCCTGCTCAACAGCAGTAAAGCAAGATGTTTCCTCCCGTGCGGAGGGCATGGGGCGAGGTAGACCTGATGCCTGCTCTGCCCTGGCTCTCGCTGTCAGCCTTTTAAAAAGGTGCTAACATGAAAACCACGCAGAACAGATAAGCTAGCATAAACTATAAATATCATTTGCGTAGATGCATTTAAAAATAGTTGGAAGTGATTCATCACCAGGCAGTTTTTATAACTATGGGTAACATGATGTAGGAAAACAATAGTTTGACTGATCGTTTCAACTTACTTTTTCAGTGATTAGTCATGTGCTGGTTTTGAGCAAACTGTTTTACAGTTCCTACCTGCTTAGTATCTCCATCAGTTTGCTTCAACTGCTTTTCTTTAAGACTTGTAAAATGGCTGTGTTAATTATTAAAAAGTAATTGAGTACTACCTAAGCTGTGTTAGTATAAAATTGTTTTAAAAGTCAAGTCTCAGGCAGGAGGAAAAACAGTATTAAAGTAAGCCCTTAATGGAATGAAGAAGTGCTGTTTGTGGTGTAGTGGAAACAAGGAGGAAGGAACATACTCACTTTCAATTACAGGGGAAAAGATTGTATTTTAACTGGCAGAGTGATAACAAAGGATTTCTGTGTCTGTCGTTTCATCCATTAAAGCTTGCAGAGAGTGTCCTAACACCAGTTGAAATCCAGTTACCTCTTGCTAAGAAATACCTATGGCAACAATAAACTCCAGGAGTTAGATACAGGAGAAAATCCCTCCTTGGAGAGAGTCTGGAGTTGGGGATTGCCATGCAATTCGCAGTAGGGATATCAGGAAGCCTGTAATGGGTCTGTAAGTGTAAACTACAAATATTACTCCTGGTGGTTGAATGTGAAAAAAGCAGCAAAACAAAACAAGTGAAAGAGCAAGAAGAGCTGAACAATAGTAAGACTTAAGTGTGAACATGCATTAAAATATAATTTTTCAAGCCCTGATTTCATTATAATTACTTTCTAATAATTTAATCACTATTCACATGGAAGTTTGCCTTTCTGTCCCAAATAATTCCTTTCCCTGTGTGCTTTCTACCTGCCTTAGCATCTCTGCAGGGGGTTGGACCAGATGACCTCCAGGGGTCCCTTCCAACCTCAACCCCTCTGTGAGCTCTGGTTTGATGTGATTTGTTTCTGAAGTCTCCCACACAGCATTTACACATCGATGATTTCTACCCCATTCTATTCATATCAGTATTTCTGAACATCTTATTCTAGAGGAATTGCTATTTGTGTAGTGGAAATCACCACAGGACTGGTGTCCTGCTCAGAAATAATTTGTTTTTCACCATTTCTTCTCTTGCTGAATGTGTCAACTCCCAGCACTAACTCTGTGGCAAAGTCGCAAACGCTTCTGCCGGTGAAAAGATTGTTGAGGTTTTCTTGCTGGTGGTTTTTTCTGTTTGTTTGTTTGTTCTAGGTTTGTTTTTGTTTGTATTTCTTTAAATATAATCAGTTTCAAGGAAATATCAAAGAGTGGTAGATAGGTCAGGCAGGAAAAAGTCCTCATTAAGAGAACCGTCATTTCCAGAAGAGCGTGGGAGCTGGAGACTCACCTTTCATTAACGTCGCTACAACACTTGATTCTACATCTCCTGGTTGGCCCGTAAGAATCTCAAGAAAACATCAGTTAAATGTCAAAGTTAGTTTCCATTTATAAACAGAACTAATTATATTCAGAAGATCTAGGTCAGTTTTCATCCGGCTGAAGAGCAGCGCGGGAGTATTGCCCTCTTACATTTGTTTTGAGAACGTGCCCTGCCCATTGCACCCAGGAATTTGTCTGTTTTGGGGTTAATCTATCCAGATATCAAGCTTAACGGGACTTTAAAGCTGCTGACAGCAACAGCACAGCTATTCCTGCTGTCCTGCTTCCTCCAGAAAAATGTGCTTGGCTGGGAGGTGGGGGGGGCGAGCCGGGGGTGCCCGTCTGCCTCTGTTTACTGTCTGTCTAAACGAACTTTCCCCCAGCTCTCTTCAAAGTTTCTTCTGGTCTGGGAAGTGGCCCTGCTATTGCCAGGGAATGTTTTTGCAAGGCTGAAATGTGCTTAAGGACTCTATTATGTAACGGAGATAACGCTTATTGGGAATTATCACAAATTACGACGGGGAATATCTACCGAACGCTCATCTAGAGAAAGTTAAAATGTCATGTGAAGAAGCTGAGAAGTAAACAAGCTCTTGTTACCTTGATCAAATATGTTTCCGAATACAGCAAGGGTTTTATATTTAGCTTTCTCTCCTCTTAGTGTGTAATCTGCTCTTGGAGCTTTTTATAAGTAGACTTTCCTGAGATCTGGAACAGCTACTGCCCTTCTTTGCCAGTAATTTCAAAGTCAAATATCAGAAGTACTAGGTAATGGAAGACACGCTTTTGTCTGAGTGTGAAGGAAATTCAAACGCGTTGCAAGGGTGGAGCAGGCGATAGCACCTTTTTGGCAAGCCATTTGCTGTTATTGTCACATACTGTTTCTTTATAAGAACCACAGTGGCCTGTCTGGAAACAAAGCGAGTTTGCAAACTTCCATTGATTTCGCTTAAATATTAGGAGATCATGGAATCCATCACGGAGTCAATCTGTGATTCTGTGGATTTTGTTTTCTTGCATTTTCTGAAATGCAGGATGGAGATAATGAGCAGAGCCCCCGGTAACAGTAAGCTCTGCTCTGAGTTTCTCCCCATGCTTGGGTTCTGGTACAGGATTTGCTCCTTTTGGTGTCTGCTCTTGGAGTGGCATGTCCCTCTGTGGACAACGCTTGGCTTTAGGTGCCCAAACAGAGAGGGCACACGGCTCTTTGCCCCCAAATCTAGACACTGAGTTATTTCAGTTTCAAGTTGCTCAAGCTTTTTTCTTGTAATAACTTGCTTTTGACATTTGTTGCACACTATCTTCTCTGCAGCTTCTGTTTTTCTCTCTGGTTGCTAAATGGTAGGGCTGAGCAGATTAGGAAATGGATTTCCTCTCTCAAGAGACCAAGTAACTGTATGTCTTGGTGCTTATTTTCACCTCGCTGGGACTGCACCAGTTGTAAAGCCTGTGAATCTATTTTGGACAGTCTTAAAACCTTCTGATAGTCAGCCATGGCTTTGGTGACTCTCTGCTGTGACCCATCACAGAAGTTGGGTTACAAATTGTCATTAGTTTGCTGATCACATAAAGCATGGACATAGAGAAGGAAACCTTTTGGTTGGTGAATTAGAGGAACAGAGGAGAGGAAAATTGGAGTCGAGTATGCCAGGTTTACTTTAATCCATATTATCACTTATGAGTGTCTTTGTTTCTGAAATAAATGTGCAGCTCCTTCTTGTAAACTGGGAGCCTGTATCCTTCATTGTTGGCTGGAAACTTCCAGGGCCTCGTTTCTCACTTCTTGGGGTTCTGTGCTAACGCTGTTTGCCTAAAAGCCAAGGATAAGGGAGATAGAATTTCACTTGATCTAGGAAATGGCTCGTAACTGGCTGAAAGGTGATTCCTGTTGGTTTCATGGAGAGAGCAGGCATCTTGTTTCCTATCCTCCAAGAACTGAGAAGGTATCAGTGAAAATGGATTCCCAAGCCCAGGGCAAAAGCGCTTGCTTTAAAGTGATGGCTGGCTTTTTAAAATGGAAATTTAACATGACAGCTACAAAGCAGCCTTAAAGACAAGGTTATGCCAGGGTGTTGGAGCCTGAGCCCTCCAAGTTCTCCCTTTACAGAGCACCTCTGAAATCAATGGCACTGGGGGAGGCAGAGGCATGGGAGAGCTGCTCTCCTTGTCACAGACTGCAAAACCAGTTTGGGAGTAGGTGTGTTGGAAGAGGACTGGTGTGTGTTTTGCTGACCCATGCAGCAGCATGGCCCTGAATCACAGGGGCTTAAGTGGAGATTATTTCTAAGGCTGAACGTAGTGAGGATCTGAGTATATTGTCAGGCCCAAGCTACACGTGGCTCTTTCTTCCCCAGCTCTGAAGCACATTTATTAGTGTGGATGTTGTAGTTTATAATGCACGGATGTTACTAGTGTTTGTGAAACCTGAAGGAGGGGAGGGAAGGTGCTTTGCATCTTTTCGGTGCATTGCCAACCCATGAGGCTGAAAACCTGTGACTGAAAATGTGGAAATTCATTACTTAAGGGAGAGGCCAGCATGAATATATGTCTTTTTCCTTTTTGATTTGTGAACGCTTTCAACGATGAGGGGCTCTCTTTCCGTGTGCCTTTAAACACAAAAGCTGAATTGTTCTAGGACTTTTGACTTCCAAAAGCTGGAACTTGAAGAAAACATTAAATATCACAAGACGAGCACGAGAGCTAGGAATGCTGTGCACATTGGATATGGTTGCAGTGGATTGGTGCCATTTGTGCCAGCGTAATTTGGCAAATGTAAGGGAAAGAAAAAACAAAAGGCAGAGTTCTGGCTGCGGGATCAAAGCGTTTGATGAAATAGCGTTGCATTTGCTTGACTTAATGTTTTAATAAAGTTGTATATACAGATGATGTAGAAAGAACAGTGTAATAAGGAGTTGTGGTAATTGATCCTTCTGCTCTTTTATTTTTTAATTAAAGCTGGCCTTTGCCGGAGTTTGACCCAAGTCAGATCCGACTGATTGTGTATCAGGACTGCGAAAGAAGAGGACGGAATGTCTTATTTGACTCCAGTGCTAAAAGAAAAATAGAGGATGTTTCAGTGTCGGTGAGTATTTTACTGATTTGCATGGCTATAGTCTGTATTTTTTAAAATGGCAAGTTTGATAAATCACAAATGTTCTGTTTTATTCACATTAACATTTAAACGTCAGTTATATGCAGGGCTATATTTAAATGCCTGTTAAGTTGCAAATTATTCAGGCTTCAGTGATTTCACTTAACAGCTTTAAATACTATAGCAATCTCCTTATTCTTGGGCTCGTCTACTTTCTGCTCTTGCAGAGAGAAGGATTCCTTTCTGGGGCTGCAGCAGCCAGCGCTGGGGGCTGAGGTGGGGCATAAACTGATATTTAGGGATTTATGCTTTTATGCCATGGTGGGGTCTGTATTCTTGATCGGACGGTCCTCCCAGTCCTGTGTCCTCTGCTGTCCTGTTTGTTAGCTTTTGCCAATCCTTCCTATGCTGACAGTATTTTGACACAAAGTCACTTGAAAACTTTTTCCCTTTTTCCTTTTGGCATGGCCTGCATGGTAATCTATTAATTGAAACTAATGGCTGCAAGTCAGATGAGGATACTTCCTTCTAAGGGCTCTGGCCAGAAGATTAATTTCTAGCCACAGTGCTATTGTAAGTGGTTGTGTGAGGTTGGACAACTTAGTTTGCTACTTTGAACTTTCTCTCCACCATCCCTAAAAACATTTACAAACCGTTTTGAGCTCTGCAAGCAGAAAGTGCTGTGTGAACTGAAATTTATGATCCCAGTTGCTTTTACCCGTAGGACCTGCTGTAAGTTCTGTAGGCAGAGGTACGCAAAATACAGTTACCCCCAAGCAGTGTTTTTCATGTTGGGCTGTTGGAGCACAGCCAGAAGGTTCTTCATCCAGCTTTGTAAACTCTTCCAGGCTATTGCTGAATGCTGCCAGCCCGATGCTACTCATCCTGGTCCTGGGTGCTTCCCATCTCCATGTCTCCTATCCTCTGGGAGTCACTTTGTGTCTCATCAGCCACTAACTTCCATCCTTCTCCATCGCTTACTCTTAGGGCTTTTATAGCCATGAATCAAGATCCCAATTTCCTAGTTCTTTGGGGGAATTTATGAAGTAAAGCAAGTTTCACAAAGGTTGAACAAAACACATCTTTCTTTTTAATTTTAACTGGTTAGAATGACTTTATAATTTATAAGTTCCTGCTCATCTAGGTGTTCTTGCCAGGAAAACAGGCTTTTAAAGACAAGAGATCGTTAGAAGTGGTTTATTGGTATGAATTGCTGGCTCTGCTCATTACTATTACTTCATCAATTATAAAGTATTACTTCATTAATAAGAAAGATGTTACACAGGATAAATCCTCTTGCCATATTTCAATTGATTTCTTGCAAGCCTAAAACCTCTTTAAGATAGATCTGTACTTGCACAGTGAACTTGCAGACTTCACTGGTTTGGTTTATTTCAGAAAAATCATTGACTGTGGCAGCTCAACAGCAGCAGAATAAACGGCTGATAATGATGCTAATACAGTTCCATGTTAATCTTGCCTTTATTTTTCTTTGCTAACAGCAAAGGGGGAGAGAAATATCTGTACTGACCATCTCTATGAAAGGAGTAGGTGAGATTGGAGGAGGAAGATTGTTCCCAGGGTGTTTGAAATGCCCAATGCTCATCTCTAGTAACTTGATATATTTCTTTTTTTTTGTGGTATTAGGAGACTTTGAAAGAGAATGCATTGAAACATTTGCTTGCTGTGCTATCTGCCTTCAGCAGCACTCAGATAATGTCACGTCAGGCAAAACTTTCCTTGTAAAACAAAACTTTGCAACAGCAGAAACATTATGCAGGTAAAAACGTGCCGGAGAGTCCTCGGCCGGGCTTGCTGCGAGCGCAGTGCAGGCTGGTGCAGTTAGCACTGCGTACTGGCCATTTGCAAGGAATCCCATTGTTTATTTTTCTTGCTCTTTATCATGATTTTCATTAACAAAGACACACCCTGCCTATACAAAGCCAGATCTTGGCTCTAAGCACATTCCAAGGCACTCTTGCCCTTTCGCAGCAAGACATGTGTGTGGGCCGGGCACTTGCCCTTCTGAAAGGGTATCTGTTCACCACACCACAACAGCCAACACTTTCTGCATCTCCCCCCCTCCATTTCCTAACATGATTTATACCCCTGGATTTACAAATAACACTAGGGGAGAGATTTACAAGAGTGCCCGGCAGTGGCCAGACTGTTCTGGGTGAAGTCTCATCAGTCTAAGACAGAGAACTGGGAGGGTTTCAGTTTGCTTTGTGTTGCTGTACAATTCAGTTCCCATTTCTTGTTGCTTCTGAGATGGGTAGCAAAATTGTCTAATTGAAAGCAAGTATAATTTAAAAGCTGTATGCCTGCAGCAAGGTGAGATGTGCTTTGCTCTATTTTATATTTCTAATCTCTGCATGTGTCAGGAGTTGTGTGCGGTGGACCAAGGTTGAAGATGGCTTGATTTCTGTAAGGGAAGGTGTGGTTATAAAATTTAAGGAGCATCAGAGCAAACTTTTCCAGACACAGATGTTTCAGGAAATAAAACAGTAGGCTCTGACTTTCTGATGAGTGAAAACTGCAGAGTTTGTGCTTGCACCAAGCTGGGCTCTAATTATTTAAACATTACTAGGCTCATATTATCTGTGGGGGAAATGTGAACGTAACACAAATAAGGATTTTGTGTGTTCATTGGATATTAAATCAACCTCTTTGTGTCTTCGACAAAGCTAAATATCAGGCGTGTTCATTGGATATTAAATCAACCTCTTTGCGCCTTCAATAAAGCTAAATATCAAGGTAAACAAGAATTTTGGGAGGGGATTGCACGGAGACACAGAGAAGGCAGCTGAGAGTTTGCAGTGTGGCCATTAAAGTCTTTTTAACTGTGCAGGAGAAGCGATGTTGTCCCCGGGTCTCGCTGGAGTTAAACTTGGCGAGGGAAGGCGAGCGGCCGCCTGGTGACTGGCGGGGCTGGCGGCTGCCGCACCGGGAATGTTGGCCCAGGGCTGTGCCAGGCGTTTCCAGCGAGGCCAGGGCAGCTGTGGGCACTTGGCATGGGGCAAGCAGAGAGATCCCCTTTGTCAGTCCTATACCTTTTTTGGTGCTGAGTGGGAGAGGTTCTTCCCCGGCTTTCCAGGGGACGGGCTATTGATCGGCCGAGCTCTCTTAAGCAGAGCCCGAAGGCTGCTGCCTCACGGGCATCTGAAAATTGGGCAACTCCCCTGTCTGAGCTCTGCCAGGGCATCCTAGAAGAGAGCGAGTGCCCTTTGCAGCCCTGTGACACCGGGTCATGAGCAAATGTATGCAAATGCCCATTCTGATACTGAGTACACCAGGGCAGCCTGTGATGCCAGAAGTAGACATTACTGACGCCTTTACTGAAAAACCTGGGTCCACACCCAAACATCCACATCCCGTGGGGTTTTGGGGTATCAAAGTACTTCTATGGTCAAGGTCATGGGTTTGATCCTCTGCCTCCTCTAGAGTTACTACAGAGTTTGTTCCTCGTGCTCCTGAGTCTCGCTAATGAGACGGTATGACTTGATTTGCAGGTGATAGTGTTACAGCCCATGAGTGATTTCTGTGAGTGTTCTCATTTCTGGGCTTGTCTGCTCCTTTTTCTCTTTTCGTTTTCCTTTTCCTCCCCACCTGCCTCCCCCTCTCAGGTACCCCCAGCCCCCTCACTCCCTGCATGGTGCCTTGTGGCCGTGCCAGGTCCCCCACGCATCCACCCCGCTGGGTTTTACAGAGTTCCCAAGCCAGGACCTGCGCGTAAACCCAGCAACACTCCTCCAAAGGCCGTGACACCAGGTTTGAATTTCAAATCAAGCACAACAAGCAGCTCCTTTTCCTTGTCAAGGTGCAGAGGGAGGGCAGGTGGCCTGGCCAGTGCTGAGCTTTCAGCCTTGGCGCTGCCTTTCCTGACCCCTCTGTGCTTGGCTTCCCAACCCTGACGCTGCACTCGCGCCGACCTTCCGCCAGGGCTCTGCTGTGTTTCGCTGTGCTGCTGCTCTGGTGTGGCACGTGAGTTATGTGGCCATAAATGTCAGTGTGCAAAGGCCAGCTGAAGTATGAGGAATTTTCCTCCGAGGGCTGGCAATTGCCCGGGATGAGGATGCCACAGAAATGATGCCACGAGAGAGAAGTGGGGAGTAAACCACAGAAGAAGCCAGGAAGGGGAACCGTGCATCAGGGCTTTCCTCGGAGCAGGCTGAAGGAGTTCAGGGTTAGCAATTTCCTTTAACTGCTCATTTTCCTTTTTATGTTGTCCACTGGTGACTTACACCAAGACGGTGTTTGCCATTAGGGGTTTGATTGGAGAGAGGTGCTGAAGGACATGTAAGAAGCTAAAAGATTTCCTGAGACGGGCCTGAAGGAAGGCATGGATTCCAGGGAGGAAGAAGAAGGGGTGTCAAGGGACCATGAAGAAGAGGAGGGAGGAAGAAAGCAAGAGCTGAGCTGTGCTTTCTTTGCGCACGTGCTGAGCAGGGATCTGGAGTGGTTTGACTGGGAATGGAGAAAGAAAGGAATCAGACAAGGGCAGTGATTTGTTCCCAGGTCCCAGAGGCAGAGAGGATTTTCAGAACCAGGATTTGTTTTGGTTTTTTTGAAGAAATGAAGGGGAAAGAGTGACCTGGGGTGCAGGACTGGAGATTTAGAGGTGCAACTTGGATTTGGGGAGCAAAAATTTCACTTTTGCCAGGTAACCCAGTCGTCTTTCTCTTTGGGATAATTTAGCTGGAAGGTCATATGATATTTGATCTCCTACTGTGGCAATTTCTTTCACTCCAAATGTCATATTTATCCCAAAGTAGAAAAAAGGCATGCTGTTCTAAACAAGCCAGGATTAGCCACGTGTTCTAATATACTTCAGCACTGGATAAATGTTGAACAGTAAATTGCTTTGAGGGATTAGTAATTGGATAGTGAGCCTTTTTGCTGTTAGGTGAGTTGTGTGACATGGAGCCTCTGGTCTCTCTCTGGCTCTCAGTGGACAGGTTCCCAGTGAGCCAGGCTGGGCAGACCAGTAAAGACACCAGCTGTAAATGCAGGGACCAAGTCCCGCCTTCTTATTCACTTGAAACAGAAATAGAAGAATTCTAGTGAAGTGGGCGAGCCGAGGGTTGTCTCTGCTTCTTTCACTGACCTCTGAGTAACAGGGGAACTTGACAACTCTGGAAGCAAAGGGAGAACGGAGCACTTGCCAGCTGCATTTTAAGAGAGAAACCTGCATTTTGGATTTTTATATTAGCAGTTGAAGGGAAGGAATTCAAACCTGTTCAAGTTCCTCTCGTGTCCTAGGTGCATGCATACATTTAATTACATGTTCAGACCAACACACATTAAAAAAGCAAAAGAGTTAATTTATCTGTTTTGGAAGAATACTTCATCTTTGCTGAATGACCTGCTCTAGAAATGAGGCCTGGATGTCTCAAAGAATGGCAACTTCACTTGGATATATAGATTTCTCTATCGCTACCACCCCAGTGGTATTTGAGCACCTGCTGTTGCAGAGAGGTAGAAAAGAGTAAAACATATGATGACATTTCTCTTTCCTTCTGTCACTCACAGCCCTGACACACAGACACACAGTCTGGATTCGGTTCAACACACCAGGCTCCTTTCAACTGTCTTATTATCCCTGAATCAAAACTTGCCCAGCAGAAATTCCTCTCCCGGTGCCCAGCGCCGGGCACGTTCTTTCCACTTACTGAGGAATTTATAGACCTTGTGGCGAAGAGTTAAAGGTCTTTGCTGATAGAGGTGGAGAAAAGGGATTCCAGGAGCAGAACTGCAGAAGAAAACTACTTTGTACCCTGTGGTACTATAAAGGCGTTTTACTCTGGTACCTTCAGTACTACCTGATGGGTCTCCAAGGCTTGGAGCAAATGGTGATTCCTGATGTAAGAACTGGGGCTGCCAGGAAGCCTTTGGTGTCTGCAACGAGTTGGCAGAGAAAAGACCAAAGAGTGTGCCCACAGTGAGGAGAGCAGCGTGGCCCACAGATCTTCTGCTCTCCATCAAAAGTTAGCTTTTAGGAGGGCTCCAGCAGCACAACGGTCCGTTGGTTTTGTCTATTTGGGAAGAAAATCCACAACTTTGAATCTTCCCCTTGCACAGCTCCTAAGTAATTAGGTTGCTTTCGTATTTTTGGAAACCTGGCTTGAATATCTTTGGAATATTATGTTGGAGTGCAAGTAACCCCACTCCTCTGGTGCATAGTATCTTGAAATTTGTACCATCTAAAATTTCACGGACGTTTGGAGTCAGAAACTGTAGAGGAGAGGAGCACTGCAGGTACTTGATCTCACTGTCCAACAGGTTATTCTTAAGCACACGCTAAGTCTGTAAAAGAGCAAACAGAGCAAAATTTGTCAGTGCTGTGCATTTTAGGAGGGTTTTGCTGTTCACAAGGTTCTGAAAAGTGCTATCTGAGAGATCCTGACCTCCTTCACAGGCTCCTTGCAGGAGTCTTGGCTCATTAAACTCCACTGCAAAGACCAAACAGCCGTTTTCCTGTTTGCTATTTAAATTAGGCGACTATTAATTCAAGATACCAGACTCCCCAGTGGATCTGGGGAAAGCTGCTGTGCAGAAAAATGCAGTGACAATGAGAAGAAATTATTTAAAAGTAAGCAATTTGCAAAATTACCCTGTTTTTTAATGCATAGAATTTTTTTTCCACCTGCAGCAATGCATTTGCTGGCTTTAGAGTCTCAAGGAAGCTTAGTTATAATTGTAACTTTTTAAAAGGAACTTTCAACATCTGATGGAAAATGCAAGCTGAAATGTGGTTCGCCTGCAAAAGCTTCTGTAACCCTGTGGATTTTATGTGGTTTTATCACATGATGCTTGCCTCGCCGGGGACATTGTTGTTTGTGTCAGAGATAAAATGCAATTCTGGTTCACGAGTTCCTGCTGAAGTCATATGATGATCATTCACATGTCCCAGCCATTGTGTACTGTGCTCCTGCCACACAGACTAGCAATTAGCAAATCTACATATTGCATGAATTTCAACGTACTCGCCGCGATGTCGTAACGAGAGGATACCACTCTGGGTGGCTGAATATGCCAGTAAAGTGCAGGACTCAGCAGCTCGTGAGGGCTTCCTTCCCCTCTGCCACAGAATTCCTGATTTCTCGGCACATTTTTCCTTCAGGCTTTCTGTGGCAGCAGCTCTGGAATGGGAGCAGCGGCGCAGCGTGGAGCTCCATAATCCCTGACATTTTCTGCTGCTTTGCTAAATCTCACCTACAGTTAGGGCCAAATAAAATCACCTGACCTTAACCGTGGGTGAGATTTAGCCAAAAAAAGATAAAAAGAAAAGTATCTTGCACAGCCTAGGGCAGAGGGATGGGATTCCCATCTTGTCCCTCATCAAAATCCCTCCACAGCACTAAGGGCAGTCACTTTTTTCATAGAATCACAGAATCATAGAATGGTTTGGGTTGGAAGGGACCTCAAAGATCATCCAGTTCCAACCCCCCTGCCATGGGCAGGGACACCTCCCACCAGACCAGGTTGCTCAAGGCCCCATCCAGCCTGGCCTTGAACCCCTCCAGGGATGGGGCAGCCACAACTTCCATGGGCACAGACAACTTTTTGCACAGTTGTTGCTGGTTATTGAGTGGAGTCATGAAGGTACCACCCTGTGCCTCGGGTATTTCACACTTTTCTTTATGCCTTTTCACTTTTCTCAGAGCTGTTAATGATCGAGACATACTTATGGTTTTGAACAAAGGGGGAGCTTGTGATGCCAACCTGTGAGTCCAGAGATCAAGCTGAGCAGCACTTCTCTATTTCCATCTCTCCCTTGAGCCACGCTTCCAGTAGGGTTTGCTCCCAGCTCGCTCGTACTGGTTTGGTGATTGTGCAGGAAATGTTAATTAAGAAAGTCTTAGGGCAGAGTCAGTATGTAATTTTGAGCAGTGTAGACTATTTCTGTCTCCTAGCACTGCCCATTAGCAAATGTAAATAGTGTCAACCTTGTGTGAGTGTTCTGAAGTGTAATGAGCGTGTGAAAAGTACGTGGAGGTCCTTAGATGAAGAGAGGGTTGCCTGATGCTAATGTAAATAGCATTAACTGACACGGATGCTGAGATTCACGGGGGAAATCACAAATGTTTATAAATCATCTGCAGAGCAGTAGTGAAGCAGCTCTGGTGCCAGTGATTGATCGTGCTGTGAGTGTAGAGCGGACACAAGCCCTACCCATCCCATGTGGCAGTTCCAGCTCCATCCAGAGCCACCTTAACTCACTTTTTTGCTGTGTTTTCTCTCTGAATCTCTATCAGAAACCACCCCTTGGGCCATTTTTCTATCTTTTTGTGAAACTTTTCTGGCTTCTCTATAACACTGACTGTTTCTCAGCTTTGCCCATTTTCAGCCTCATTGTACTGAGCATCAGAGGAACGTGTCACCTCTGGGCCACTCTTTAGAAGGACTAGGGGACTTAGGCACATCTAGGGAGAGATCTGTAAAAATAGTATCTTTTCTCTCCACCTATCCTTGTAACATGAATCTCTCTGGAATTATTGCTTGATTATCCCTAATTAGGGTGCTTTCCTGTACACTGTGAGCTGCTCCTTATCACGACCAGGCCAGCATCGTTGCTCTGGAGGGCTGTGCCCATCACCCTGCGGTGTCACCTCCGTCCCAGCGAGATGGGGACAGATGGGGCCTGTTGTTGCCATCCTTCCCTAGAGAGCGTCTGTACCATCCTTTCTCCTAATCCTGGGTCTGAAAAAGCCGTTTGTAAAGCTTCAGAGTCAGATGGCTGCTTAGGAAAAAAGGAGTTGGAGTGACCTGTTAGCTCCTGGGTAACTGCAAGTGAAACAGCTCAGCTTTCTCTCCTACAGACAGGCTGCAGGAGACACACTAATAAATATTCCTTTAACTGTTTTCCTGGGGCATAAGCCTTTCAGCTGTTAAATATCTCACCTAACCAGGTGCTAAACAGTGATTTTTTTGGATCGTGGGTCTTAGCGTGTCCTGTATGTTTTCTTTATTTCAGAAACTCTGCAGCGATGCTCAGGTGAGAGTTTTTGGGAAATGCTGCCAACTGAAGCCTGGAGGAGACAGCTCTTCTTCCCTGGACAGTTCAATCAACTCCTCCTCATCGTTCTCTGATCCAAAAGAGCAATGCCCCAAATACCAGGTGAGTCGCTCTTCTTTTTTTTTTTTTTTTTTTTTTTTTTTTTTTTTTTTTTTTTTGCAAAACCCATGTTAAATACTAAGGGCAGGTGAGGTCCTGAATGTTTTAAACTTCTTGAAATTAGAGGCTGGCAGCAGAGAGCAGTTCTGGGTCAAAATCAGACTTTGGTTCTGACTCAGTAGCATTCTGCAGCTTGGGTTTTAACAAGTCTAAAAGCAACCAGCTGGTTCTCTCGGGATGTCTCTTGAGTGGCAGCAGTTTCTCCAGGGCATTTGTTCTGTCTTATGACCTGGGCGATAACACTCGTTCGGTACGATCTGACTTGGCACAAACATCTTATCTTGGCATGGGTGAGGTAGTTTATTTTACTTTATTGCTAAATGCCAGGGAAATAAAAGAGAAATGCTCTGTCTGTAGGGATAGTCCCTGTAACAACTTTATAACAAGGGATTCAGTGCACTTGAGTTCCATTTTACATAAGAGATTTTGGCCACGAGAGTAGTTACAGTCATCTGACACGGATATATTTCTGTCATCTCTCCTTCCATGGATCACAAGTGTTTTATATTAAGCCACCCTAAAATAGAACTAAGCCCTTCCACTCTTTGTAATGAAGTAATTGTGTGTTTGAGGGACGCTGCTATCTCCACAACCTATTCTGAAGTACAGTACTACTGATGTCTCAATCTACCGTAGACATAAATTAAGAACCTTTCAGTTCTGACTTTCTCACTGTCGCGGTAGCTCTGGCTATATTTGGCGAGCTGCGTATTCTTGTTTTCTCTTTCTCATCACACTCTTTTCCACAGCTTTACTGAGGTGGCTGAAGATCTGTTTTCCATTCCTCCCTTCCTGGAAGGGCATTTAGCTGCGGTTATGAAAGGAAGAGACGTTTCTGTCAGCAGCTTCCTTCCAGCACAAAATAACCTCCTTCGTGCATTGTGTCACCAAGAAAAACGATGCCCCCCACTATCCAGAAATTGTCTCTCCTACTGGGCAGGCTGCGTGCAAACAATGGTCAGCGTTATTAAAGGAAATTAATTTTAGTGGTTGGCATGACAGCGTATTTTAAAGCCGTGGAAAGTTTTCCCTTTTTCAGTCCCTGTTTCCTCACGCGTATCGCTCCGTCACAATCTTACCCCGTTGAGCTGAAGTGATGTGTGACTTTGTGACCGGCCCAGAAAGCACGCCAGAAACTTTCAGCTTAAGTTGGTTTTCCACAGCCTATTTGTTCTCAACTCTCTGCTGCGTTCCCCGTACTCCTTCCAGGCTTCCCCAGCATGTGAGCAGAGAGCAGTAAATCCCAGAATTTTTTACTGCACAATAAAAGTTTTGTACCAGGTATGCAGAAGGGCCAGAGTAAGTTTGTCCAGACATCGCTCAGCCTGGCATTTCCTATCTTCTGACTGCTCTGTCTGGTAACCTCAGGAGTTACCTAATGTATTTGTGGTGTTTATAAGTTCTTTTGTTTGTTTTTTTTTAAAGCTATAAAAAGGAAGTCTAAATAATACAATGCTGTAGGACTTTTTAAATAGTTCTCTGTGTTTCCTTGTTTAAATATATTTAGACTGCATATGATCAACTTTAATTGCAAGCTGAAATACAGGGGTTTGTTGCAGGATTCCATATTTTTAATTATGTCCTATCCAATTCCCTCACAAATGTGATTTGCATCCATTAAGGTGAAGCTGAATATGGTTCTAAGCTCGCCCATGATTATTTGCACCAGTGTTACCTCTGTCCCTGCTTGTTGTCTTCTGATTTGTTGATTGTGACATTTGACATTTATTTCTGCACTGTGTTTTTAATTTACATCTTAGTTATTGATAGGAGAATATGTACAGTAAGTGGAATATTAAATGTGGTCAATGTTATATTCAGAATGTAATTTCCAAATCGTGCAAGTTTTACTATCTCCAATATGCTAATGTGCAATAACAAACACTTGTGGATATTTTATGTTCGGTTTTTATGGGAGCTGGTAAATACGACCTGGGGAGTTGGTTTGTGGCCAAGCTGTCAGTGCCGGAGGTTGTGCCCTTTTTGCCAGATGCTCCTTGGCTATTTTTCGTTTGAGTTTTTAATATTTAACCCCTTTCCTCAGTTGATTGCACTCCACTTTGGTCTTGAGTGACCTTTACTTTGCAGCATTGAAGACCCAAAGAGTTGAGCTGAGCCGTAGCTGTAGCAGTGTCTCCATATTAAATGCATTAAATACCTGCATTTTCTGTTACACATGGTAAAATCATTGTTATTAAGTGTAGATGAAGTGCCAGACTGAAACAGGCCATGGGTGCATCTCATCATGCTCTTTGCCTTCAGCATTGCTTGTCTCTGTCTCTCAGAGGAAAGGGAAACCCCTATAATTAAATTTGAAAGCAGGTGATTTTCACTTGCTTTTTTTAATTTGGTTGCTTGACAAAGAAAACCAATACTTTATCTTAAAGTATTTTTCCTCAGCTTTAGAATTAGGTTTTCACAACAGCAGAAAGTTGAAACCAAAACCGGCCATCGAGGGCTTGACGTCTGTTCAGAATGAGTCCTTCAACTGGAGATCTGCAACAGATTTAAAAATAACAATGATAACATTCGGCTGTAGTAATTTGCAGTGTCCTTACTTCAAAATTTCATGCTGCTGCCAGACCTATTATTTCCTAGAGCCATTAACATCTATGCTTAGATTTCCTTGGAGCTGCTGGGTCATACTGCCTCATTTTAAAGTCTAGTTTTTCCAGTACTGCCTGGAGTGCACCTGGGCAGCGTGATACCCTGGGAGGGAAAGATGGAAATTTCTCTGAAACCCATCTAATGACCAGATTTTGCCCTGTCATGTGAACGCTAACAAACCCTGCAATTGTATCCTCATTTTTATAACCGCTGTTGCTACTTTTAGTCATCCCCTATCTTTCTTCCACGGAGAGAGCACATTTTGGAGGTTAATAGTCTGTCTGTTAAAGTACCATCGTCTTAATTGAGAGTGCTTGAGGAGAGCTAAAAATTGAGAAGTGTTATAAGTGTGTTGCCTTTTGGCTGATGAGCGTTCCCTTGTTCCTGCCCTTGTTCCGACGGGGCAGCGGGAGCAGAAACGTCAAATGGGCATTTTCCTATCGCTCCTTGCTGAGGGTAGGGACTGGAGGTGTGGACACCCTGTCCTTGCCTCTGCTCTGAGCTCACTCTCTGACGCTGGGGAAAATATTTAGATATATTCCTGGGAAGGAATCTGGGTGAGGATCCCGGTTGTTCAGAGCTTGGGTGAAGGGGTAGGAGATCCGGCACGTAGCGTTTTCCAAGCACGAGGTTATTTCAGTGACGAGTTCTAGGGACCTTTTGGAACGATTGCTCCAAGGAAATGTGATTAATCATGCACTTCAGAGCAAATGTATTGCTCTCTTACACAGAACCAAAGCACCTCACCTGAACCTGAGCTCTGTGAGTGAGCCATCACGATATTTTAAATTAGTCAGGGGGCACAAAAGGAGAGCCAGTACTACTGTTCTGCTGGCCTAGAGATGCACCAGCCCTGGATAAAGGGACAGTGACCTCAGTCACTGAAAGCATACAAGTAAGATGACTGTTAGCTGAGCAGTCGTCTCCAGTTAATTGCCCTGAGTAACTTGTTAATTTTAGGTTTTTGTTTGCAGTATTTGATGTAGCCTGTGATGCAGCACAGTGACGTTCCTCCTTCTATTTACCCGTCAAGCCACACAGCAAACTCTCACCAACCCAGAAGCAGGAATTGCCCCACTTGAGCCTGACACCATGATGCTACAGCTCTTTGCTGGTACCATCACAGGAGCACCAGGGAAAGATGCATCAAATATAAAACACCATCTGTGGATAAGTTATAAATCAGTTGTTGTCAAGAAAGCGCTGGTCAGTCTTGGCTCTGATGCACAGTCTGTATAAGATCTCCAGGGAACTTGTAATTCTTCTGGTCAAGCAGACACGAGGTTTAGGTTTAATGGTTCCTACTCAGTAGAGTGTGTTATCACACCCCCTGTAGCTGAGTCAGGTTTCTTGGATGGTTTTAGTGGTTTAGCTCACAGCCAGTGTGAGGATCACTTGCTACGCTGGCATTATCTCTATTAACTGGTCAACTTGGTGTATTCAACAGTGTTATAGCAAGATATTTTGTGTGTTTATCTTTTGATAAAGGATATTTTCCTTAGTTCTATGTTGCCTTTTTTTGCAGGGTTCTCGGTGCTCCTCAGATGCTAACATGCTTGGAGAGATGATGTTTGGCTCTGTGGCCATGAGCTACAAGGGCTCCACGTTGAAAATTCACCAAATCCGGTAAGTTTAGTTTTTTACTGCTGGTCTTCTCAGAAGACTTACCCCTCAGTGCTAATTTGTAATGAATTGAATGCCACAAGTGCAGAGTACAAGGAATTTCTGGGTTTGCTTTAAAGCTGTTCTGATGTCAGTTTTGACACTAAAGGCTGTTATGCCGCGTTTAGGTGTATAAAATCCGGAGGGTTGTGAAATGGAAAGCAAAGCTTGTCTTGGCACCGTGTTTCTGACTGACAACTTCCTTTTTGTCCTCCAGCTCACCTCCTCAGCTCATGCTCAGCAAGGTGTTCACAGCTCGCACTGGAAGCAGCATCTACGGAAGCCTGAATACGTGAGTCCATTACAGATTGTACCTGTTGCACATAAGCAGATGAGTGTAAAGAACATAGAAGAGTTTTTTGGACCCTTTCTCTAGAAAAATAGCTCCTCCTTCCCTAAACTGTTACATCCTGTCGCTGATGTCCTCACCTTTCCCTTGTGGTTGCCTTCACCTCTGGTTGCTCTAAGCGAATGAATGAACCATTCCTTTAATGCTGATCTGGTGAAGCTTGATATTGTAAGGTACAAAAGTGCCTGCAAACACCACAGGAGAAGGGATGAGGACAGAACACTGGAGCTGGGGAGTTCAGTCCAAGATGAAGAAAAAGGTGTTACAGAAACATCTGGCTTCAGAGGGTTCACTGTTCAGTTTCCTGTGTATTAATTGACCCACCTGAGAAGGTGGCTCAGGCTGTGAGAGCTTTTTCTAGTGGAAGCCTCTTCTTATCTCGTCCGTTCCATTTGAGCTGTAGTGAAGTAACACTATATTCTCCTGCAATGCCAATCACTGCTTTTGTTGTATCTTTGTTTGTTCCAGGTTGCAGGACAGTCTTGAGTTCATTAATCAAGACAGCAATACATTAAAGCCTGACCACAGTACAATTATGAATGGACTTCTTGGGAATATAGGTAATTACAAACAGATTTTTTTTGCCTGGTGTCTTTAACTGAGTAATCATAGATTCTAGAATATGCAAGTCTTCTAAATAGAATAAAATAAAAAAAGAAACTAAAGACACAACAGAAAATTAATGTTGGTAGGATTGGGAGGAGACTAAATCAGACAGTTCAAGGTATTAGCATTTTTTTTTTCTTGATATTTTTTTTTCCTTGATATTCACTGTTCCTTTCAGACGTCAGCTGTGATTTTTCACAGTGAATGAGGTGCCCGATCTAAGAGAGAGGAACTCACTTCATCTCCTTTTAGGGTTTTGCTGTGGTTTGCTTTTGGCAAAAGTTTGCTGTCTCACTGGCATGATCTAAACTGCAAATTCCCATTCAGATAATACAGATGTGGACTCAATATGATTTGGATGTAGCTGGTGCCACAGGTTCAGCTGTGTCCGGCTGGGTGAGGGTGACTCTTCCCCACCCAGCAGAAAGGACAAGTGTCCCCAGAGGTGGCCAGGAGGGACAGGCACCTTGATGAGAAGTGCCAGCATTGCCTGCTTGAAGAGGATGCTGAACCTTTCTTTGTTATTGGGCTGCACGAGTTTTGAGTTGGGTTGAGGGGGTTTGTTTGCAGTTTTGAGTCGGGTTGAGGGTGTTTGTTTGCAGTTCCCGTTTCCGGGCGGGAGGAACCGTGGGTAAAGGAGGGGGAGAAGTTAATCTGTAACCACAGCCTTTCTCACAACCCTCTTCAATAGCAAAGGCTGTTCCTGACTCCAGCCTGTGATAGGAGAAGGCTCTATGTGTTTTGGTTGGGAACTATTTACCAGCTGCTTTTTTTAGACATGCTGGTTTAAAAAAAAAAAAACCCAAACCAAACAAAACACAGCGCTGGTCACGTCCTTTCCTTTAATGAGTGAAGAATGAAGGGAGCTTGGTTGAGGTGCAGCTTTTATGTTTTGTGCAATCGGAAAACTTTGAGCGAGCAGCAGCTTCACGTTCAGGAGAGGGACTGGCAATTAACTCATTAAAAATACCCATGCATTTTTCCTGGCTTTGTCTACAGTCAATACACTCTTTCCCTGGTATATCTACCATTCGGTATTAAAATAAACTACTAAGATTGCTAACATTTACGTTGCTATACGATCATTTCACTAAACTGATGTGCTGCCTGTTGTCAGAAAAGCTACTTTAGCCTGTAATTTTCAGTTGGTTCTACTGAGATGAATTTCTGCCTGCCTTCTCCCCCTTTCTCCCCGTCGTCCTTCCTCGGCCACCCCACCAGCGTGGATGTTAAAACAAACATTGTACTCCATAATGAATCTCCTGTTTGTGGTCGAGTTAGGCTTTGGGCCTGCATAAATTAATCATTTTTCAACTTTAAAAAAAAAAAAAAAAAAAGCTCTTGGAAAGAAACCCCATCCTTGTATGGGAGACAGTGTAAAGCTGGGTCTATTATTTTAATTCTATAAATGTGATATCGTTCAACTGTGAGACGTATCCTTGAATCGACGTTCTTGTTCCGAGCCCTTCTTCTGCGTCCGTTAGTCTGCATTGATGTTGGCTTATATCTTCTCCCTGCCCTGGCCCCCTCCCTCCCTCCGGACTGTTCTGCTTTACTAACCTCATTCTTTCATGTGTATTTTACGTTTTGCCGTGTAGGTCTTTCACAGCTTTGCAGCCCCAGGCGGGCATTCTCAGAGCAAGGTCCGCTCCGCCTCATCCGGAGCGCCTCTTTCTTTGCAGGTTTGCAGTGTGCTGTGTGCTGTGGCTAGTTCTAGCTGGTGTGACAAAACTGCTGGGGTTTGTAGTTTAGCCCTGGAAATAAGATTATTTAAGTACAAAAAAACACCCAGCGATGTCTGGGCTTTTAGCTTTTTGGATACGTGCCTTGAAGCCCCAGAGGACAGCATTTTACCATTATTTTACTTTAATAGTCCTCCTTGGGGTTGGCTGGTTGTGGTGTTTCCTTTCGAAAACTTAAATATTTAATGGTGGATTTCATATTTCTGGAAATAATATTTCACAATAGCGTCCACCTATTTCGATCTGGACTCGTTTCAACCAAACTGTAAAAACTAAAGCTAACCTGGCTTCGTTTAAAACAGTCATTTCTTGCTTTTAGTGGCTGGGTCTTATTTCCATGGCTGAGTAGCTTTTATTTCACACAATAGTTGTAAAATATATCACATATAAAGACTATTGAGCCTGAGACACTTTGATCTTGTGTATGTGCAGACTGTGAATCTGGACAGCTTATGGCTTAGTTGAACAACCAATGCACTGCTCGCAATTTAAAAGGATTGGTTTTCTTCAAGACAGCATTGCAAAATCATTTTTAAATTAAATTTAAAAAAAATATATTAAAACAAAATACATATAATGCCTAAGAAAGCTGGTATATGAAAGAAATCCAGTTTATATTGGGTCTTGGTGGGGTCTTTGTCTACACGCTGCATACTATCTACATGACCGACATCCTTTTGGAATTAAAATTCCATTGAAAAATATCTGTGTAAAGAAACAAAGTGTATTAGTTCTAGTTTGTATTAAAATAAGTGTATGGGCTTCAGAAAAATACATACAAGCTTTTCAGATGAGTGTTTTGGCTTGTTCAGCTAAGCAGCCTTTCTTGGTGATGGCCTTGTGCGGTGCTGTTGATCTGAATTAATGAGCATGTTTTTGTTTCATTAATTACGTGGAGATCTGCAAACAAGAAAGGAACTGTATATTCCCCTGCTAATTGGTGTTCCCTGTTTTACAGTTCACAGCAACCCTATGGATATGCCTGGGAGGGAGCAGAACGAGGACAGGGACAGCGGTATAGCCAGATCTGGTAATGGCAGTTCCGCGTGTTAACCCCGTAGACTCCAAAAAGATTCAGTAATATTCCTCACTGGGATGTCTAAACATAGTTTTTCCTGTGCTGAAATGTGATTGTTGTGTTTTGTTGTATAGAAGCCTTACTGCATCCCTGTACGTGTGCCTACAAACGTGTAGGCGTCAAGAGTGTTGCGTTGGGGACCTCGGGGAGGGAGACTGAACAGTTTATTAAAGCACGCTGCAAATCAGCAAGGCAAATTAAATATTGAAATGAGTTTGCGGCATTTCCAAATGATACTTGTTGTCGTCTCCTTTCCAAATTGAGGAGGATGGGAATGTCAAAACATGGATTCGCCTCCGCAACACCCTTCTCCTCCCCCCAGACTCCGGGTGTTGGGCGCGTAACGATGGGATTCACGTTGCCCCTTTCCACACGGAATTTCTTTCCTGATACTCGGGGTTGATGAGCACGGTGCAGCCTCTGTGTGGCCTATTATGTAAAGCTACAGGACTGTCCCACCCTTGTAGTGCTGGTAGATCTTGTTAATGTTATTATAAACTGGTTATTTTTAGATAATAATCATAGATAAGCCGAAGAGAAGACACTCGAGAACCAACAGCAGTTTATCTCGAGGGGCTTCCTTGAGTTGCTGGTATTGTTTTTCCAAATGCTGTTTCTTCTGGAGAAATGTTTTTTATTTATTCCTCTTATTTTTGCAGCATCTCTTAGCAGCCTGCTCATCACTCCCTTTCCATCTCCGGGCTCCTCGTTTAACAAAAGCTGTGCGAGCAGTTACCAGCGGCGTTGGCGGCGCAGCCAGACTACCAGCTTGGAGAACGGGGTCTTCCCTCGATGGTGAGCTGGGAATGAAAATGCTGGTTCCTGCCCGTAGATTTTTCCACCCTTGTCAGCTTGATTCTGCTCTCACATACGTACATCTGCTCTTCCTGTTGCTTCCTGGGGGTATTTACAGAGGTGTAAGTCAGGCTGCGCTTCGGCGCCTCATCTTTTTTAGTATCTTGTTTTCTTCGTGGCATCCATTGGTTTGCACTAACCAAAGCCTTCAGCTAAATGTAAACCCGTGGGCTGTATTTTGAGGATAAGAAGCCCTAAAATCCTACTCACAACACACATTTCTTGGCAGAGACGGGAGAGAACTCGAATTGCATATTCTAAGCCCACAAACGCTTTGGATCTGGTTCCAGCTTTTGTGACTGCAGGATCAATTAATGGTTGCTTGTAAAAAATTGCAAAGGGGATGTTATCAAAGGTGATGATTTGACAACACGTGCCAATGAAAGTTGTTTATTGGAGGGAAATGTTGAAGAGTCAAATTACAGGGAAACCAACATAGAACTATAAGCAGTGGATTACATTAACTTTCTATTTTCTCTTGTGCTTCAAGGTCCATGGATGAAAGCTTTAACTTGTCAGATGACAGCTCTGGTCCCAGCCCAGGAATTGTTAGGAAGAAAAAGATAGCCATTGGAGTCATTTTTTCACTCTCAAGAGATGAAGATGAAAACAACAAATTTAATGAGTTCTTCTTCTCCCACTTCCCTCTTTTTGAGAGTCACATGAACAAACTGAAGAGCGCGATAGAGCAGGTAAACCCTCTCTTGTGATTCTTGCGCTTGCAGCGCTGCGTGTTCCCCCCAGCTGTCAGATTCCATTTCTGTCTCTTGTTACTGGTTTACAAAAAGTGGGATTGACTCGCTGTGGGTATGGGAATTGCACCAGGGAAGGGCTTCACTCCACGACATCTTTGAGGATGTTCCTCATGGCTAGCAAAAGCGGAACAGGGGGTGAGGACAGAGAGCGTGGAGTTACTCTGCAGGGGTGGCTGAGAGCCCGAGCACTCGCTGGGCTGTGAGAGCTCCCAGCAAAGCCTGGATCAGCCAGGGGGGGAAGTAGGGGGTTTTAAGGCCACCTCTACCTCCTGGTTTCAGCTCTGAGTCGTGTGCATCTCAGAGTAAGAGCTTATCTCTAGGCCATTCCAGGCTGTACATAAATATCGAGCGTTTTCCTTTCCCTTTATTTTTCCGCCTGATTCTGATATGTAGGAAAATTTCAAAGAGGGACGTTTCAAACATGCGGGGAGATTTGCTTCAGATCTCTCTTCTAGGAAATACTTGGTGGTTACTTTTTGCCACTGCAATGAAAACTTTGACCCCTTTTATGCCTTGACTGATGAAAAGCACAGAAGAAGCAGAGGCTGCAAATGCATGTGCCTCACGTATCTTTCCTCAGATAGGAAAGTTGGCATTTGTACCATCGTTTTATCACTTGAAAAAAAAAATTATTTGCATGACTAGTTGCGTGAAAAGATAAAGCCAAACACATGACTTTGTTTTCCATTTTCTGTGCTTCTGTAGCTATGTGTTACTTATCTGTTTAATGATTGTTTTCAAGGCTATGAAAATGAGTCGCAGATCAGCTGATGCCAGTCAGCGGAGTTTGGCATATAACAGAATTGTTGATGCCCTTAATGAATTCAGGTGAGCACTTTGTCTCCTCTCTGCTGTGTCTGTTTCTCCAAAAGCACTCCTGCCTGTTTTAGAAGGATCTTTGCCTTAGTGCAGGATAAGCAACTTAAAATGTCTAAAATCTTCTGCAAAAGTAAGTACAATAAAGATACTAGCGATAGCAAGCCACTATGATCGGTTTGTGTGTTTAGATTTTTGCCAAGTGTGTGTATCCATCAGGGCTTGGTCTGAACAGGACGTAGATGATGAAGGTTTTCTGTGCTTCAGGTGGTAACGAAGCTCCAGCAACATCTTAAATTGTCTTTTATGGCCTGTTGAGAGGGGGGGGAAATAATTGCAAAGCCCCAGGTTAGGGAAATCCTCCTCTCGGGTATATTTTCCTGATGTGTGAGCAAAGCAAGACCTTTACCCTGCTCTAAATTCTGCTCTAAAGGCGTTTCAGATAACCAGCTACTAAGAAAGAGGACTATCTTTTTCCCACAGTAAAATGCAGTTCTGTAATCTCTCACTATCTGTACCTGCAGAGCCTCTCCATTCAACAGTTAATACACAAAGTAAGGCAGATAAGCACATCCCTGGCATTTAACTGTATTTTCTTTCCATAGTTTAAGTCACGGGGAGGGAATTAAGATGAACTCCCTCTGTTTCAAGTGATTCATCTCCTCCCCGATGGGAGGGGCAGAGGGTGCTTCCTTTTACAACCAGTGCAGAGCTGCTTTTTCAAGATATTCTAGAAGGCAGTGTCCTGCTGTTGTAGAAGGAAAACCCTGACATCAGGATGTATTTCACCCAACGGTGAAGGACCTTGAGGGCTCACCCATTTTTCTACAGTGCCGCCTGAACGCCAGGGATGAGGTGGTGTTGCAGGATGAAGGCAGGATGGATTTTTTTTTTTTAAATTTTATTTTTTTTTAGAAGCTCAGCTCCGTGTGGTTGGGAGGGGAGGGCAGAGGGATGCGTTTGGCAGGGAGGGGAGGCAGGGAAAGAGGGAGCACGTGGGGCTGCGGTGCGAGGAGGATGGGGAGAAGCAGCAGTGCCAAGAGCAGAGGCAGCTCGTGACTGCTGGGAGCTGCTGATCCTGCCCAGGGGCCCGAGACGAGTTCGGCAACTCTCTCAGCAGCCACCCTGGTTCCTCCGCTCCCCCCAGCTCCCTTCTCCTCCCCGTCCTCACCCGCAGCCGCCTCGCCGCATTCCTGCCCCCTGATAACACCACCTCCCGGCCTGCTTTCCCAAAATTTCCACCCTCCTTTGTCCTTCCAAGTTAAACAGTTCCAGAGCGGGGAGGGGCTCTTCTCCCCGCTCAAACGGTGCAAAGATAACCCTGAAAACACAAGCCAGATCCCCCCCACCCCTTGCTGGCTTTTTCTTCCTTGAGCTGGGATGGGACAAGGAAGGTTGACCCCCCCAAGAAGGCTCACTCACCCTCTTGTCAGGGCTGAGGAGAGGACAATAACGTCCCCCCGGCCATGGGAGGGTTGTCACCCCCCTCCCCAGCTGCTGGGAGACTGGATCATTCACATGACACGGCCGTTGCGCAACCGGCACCGGGAGCGTGTGTCCAACCACCAGTTTTATGCAGAGGTTTCCATGGTGATATAAATATTACTCTTTAATAGTGTAACGAGGTAAATTAAATCCAGTTTAATTTCATATAAATGAATTTCCTGGGGCAGCAGGCTTTGGCAATTCTGTTTTTTTGGTTGGTTTTTTTTTTCCATTTTAAGCGAGCGCATTCAGAGACACACAGCAGCTGGTGCCCCCAGCCCAGGCTGGTCCTGCAGGTGGGCAACGTCCTGGTGTCTTGGGCTGGCAGGTTGTGCTGCCATCAAGAAAAAGCATTTCTGTAACATACAAGAGCCACTTGCTTTTCAAAGCGATGCAATATGTGTCTAGTAAGGGGGAAAAAAAAAAAAAAAAAAGGCGTATTTAAATCCCAAAGGCTGAATGCAAAGATGCTTTGGCAGAGGTTCAGCAAACCCATTTAGGCCACTATTATCTCTTTAGGCGTCTGCTTTCCCACTGGAGTCACGGGGAAGTCAGGAGCCCGAGTCCTTCGGTGAACCTGAGACTTGTGTTGATTCCTGCCCTCTTAGCAAATTGTGCTGGAGGGAAGAAGGGTGCTGACTTCAGTGGGTTGGTGTTTCTAAAACGTAATCCTCTGCTGGTTTAACTCATTGCAGTCTGCCTGTTGGCTTTTGGGGTTTTTTAAGTAGAATTTTATTTTTTATTTTTTTTTAAACCCAGACTTTCAGAGGCTCTCAAGCGCAGCTGGTGTGTGCTCCTCTGGTGATTAGAATAACCTCAAGTCAGTGGGGCATGGGGGACCAGCTCTGCATGGCCGTGCTGGTCAGAGGAGGGGGGAAGGAGGATGAGGGTTGTCACCCTACCCTCCTGCCACCCAAAAGTCCCCTCTGCAGGGACAGTGCTGGGGTTGTAGCCCAGCCTGGGAGCTGGCAAGGAGGGTTGTTGCAAAGAAACTACTGCAGGGGCAGCCAGGCATTTACAGGCATTTACCTGCTGGTCCTGGTGGCTGAGGAGGAGAAGAGATGACAGCAAAAACAGACCTTCTCCTTTGCTCTTCTTCTTTCATCCAGGGAAAAACAGAGCTGCCTTCTCTGAAAGGCCAAAGCTGCTTCTGCAAATTGATGCTAATGATAAATTTGCCATCGCTTTGGTGCCCGGCTCCAGGCCTGCCCTTACATCATTATTCACTTTACAGCAATTTTTAATTCTCTAAAGCACTGATGGGTTTAGCTATTAACACCTGACTTAGAGGCTTAAAACTCTCTTCAGATGTCAGCTGTGCAGACACATGACTTATGAAATAAGCCACTGTACTTGCATAAACATTTCGACTCCCCCGGCCCCCGAGGCCAGAGCAGCACATTGATAATGCAGATTATGTGTCTGACTGATACCTGTGCAGCACATACACAGGCTGGCAGGGGAACACCGAACACAAGGCCCAGGGAAACACCTCTCTCTGCTTTCTGGCAGCCAAAATTGATCCTATTTTATGCCAGTAATTTTTAAGCAGCTTATGCTGCTGTGAACTGAGCGGTGCGGGCTGGTCCCTGTGCCAGCACAGGAGTCCCGTGGGCACCCACTGCAGCAACTGCTGCCTTCATTTTCTTGTTCCTTTTTAAGGAATAGTCATAGAATTGTTTGGATGGGAAGGGACCTTAAAGACCCCCAAGTGCCACCCCCTGCCCTGGGCAGGGACACCTCCCACCAGCCCAGGTTGCTCCAAGTCCCC